TATATATACACACACACACACACATACACTCTCACTCATACATCTATGTATGTGTGTGTAAGTGTACATGTGCATATACACACACACACATACACACACATGCATACATATATAGGTATAAGAAGAATGAACTACCCTGTGAAGGGTGTACATATTACCTGAATTTCTCTGAAATGTCATTTTCCATGATACATGGCACTTGTTAACAAAAGTGTGTATGTTACATAATATCAATTCAAAACTAACTCATAGCAGACCCTCCAGTATGTTTCCAGAGGCAGTAAATTGCAGAGGAGGAGATTGCCCGGTGAAGAGCACCTAGTGGATTCAAACACCTGCCTTTGGGTTGGAAGCACCATTCCTTACTACTAGGCCACCAGAATGCCCTTCTATCTATCTATTCATCTCAAAAACAGTTCCACTGGATTGACACACAAGTATGTCATTTTGAGGACTAAGAAGCACTTTGCTGTGGTATTTTCAGTTGCCTCACATGCATGTGAAAGTTGGACAATGAATAAAGAAGACTCCAGGAGAAACAGTGCCTTTGAACTATGGTGCTGGTTAAGAATATTGAACTGCCAAAAAGAACAAACAACAGTCTTGGAAGAAGGACAGCCAGGTCGCTCACTGGAAGTAAAGCAGGAGAGACAAGACTTTGTCTTACAGACTTTGGCCATGTTATCAATGAAATGGGCTGACAGTGGCTGCAACAGGGGGACCATGCAGAGCAGTGACTGAGGATGGCATTGTTTTCTCACAGAACTGAGCATTGTTTCATTCTGTCATAGGGTCAAATGGATTCAGAACTAACCTGATTTCATGTCCAGCACGTAGTAACAACTAACAACAGGTCTGCACATTACAGGTTGAGAAAACCGGGAGAAATTTAGAAGAATGAACGGTCTCCTGTGAAGTGTGTACATTTTGCCCAGATTCCTCTGAAATGTCATTTCTCACAGCACATACCACTTTTCTCTCCACAGGAGTCTTTAAATGATGTATAAGCTATAAAATTATCACTTCATCTGGTAATGAAGCATAGCTTTATTTCTGATTTATGATTAACATGATGTAATTATCATCTGGCTACTTGGTCAAATGGATATGTGGAGCACAAGAGTCAGAGATGCCTTATTTGCCACATTTAAGTTCTTAATGGAATTAAAATATCAATATAATTAATCAGAAATTCATTATTCAAAACAACTATGAGATATCATCTCATCCTAGTAAAAATAGCAAAATTTAACAGAACAGCAAACAACAAATGCTGGTGAGGTTGTGGAGAAACTGGAACCCTTATTCACTGTTGGTGGGAGTTTGTAAAATGGTGCAACCACTATGAAAGACCGTATGGTGCTTTCTCAAAAAGTTGCAAATAGAAAAACCATTTGACCCAGCAATTCCACTACTGGTAATATACCCCAAAGAAACCATAACCGCCACTCAAGCAGATATATGCACAACCTTGTTTATTGTGGCTTTGTTCACAATAGCAAAGAATTGGAAACAACCCAAGTGCCTATCAACAAACGAATGGATAGAGAGGCTGTGGTATATTCACACAATGAAATCCACGCTGCATTGAAAAACAAGGAACTCATGCAATATTATTCAAAATAGGTGACCCTGGAGGACATTATGCTGAGTGAAATATCTCAGTCACAAAAGGACAAATACTGCATAGTGCCACGCCTATAAAACAGGACTGACATCGGGGTTGGGGGGAGACTGAGAAGGATGGCATGAATTATGTATACCGCACTGAAACAGATGAGAAAGAGAACTGTTTAAAAGGGATCTGTGATTAGGTATTACTGTCATGAAAGGAGTTCAGAATGAAGGCTGCATAGTGGAGTGGACTTGGGGGGAGGGATTGTGTAACAATGAAACAATTTTTATTTTACTTTTCAAAGAGAAGAGTGAACTGGGGCAAGGAGAGGGGGAAGGTTGGGCAGGGAGAAAAGTGTAACAATGAATGAATGGAAATCCAAAGTCTCTGTAAACTTTCATTAAAATTAATTTTAAAGAAAGAAATTCTTCAGTATTACAAAAACTATGTTAGGAACTTAGGGGAGCTCTATTGCATGGCATAGTTTCTAGGGAGTTGTACTGCTAACCGCAACACGGTACCTCTCTTGTGGTTCGAATCCACCAAAGCTCTGCAGAAAAAAGATGGGCAGTCTCCTGTCATTTGATTTACAGCCTTGGAAAACCTTCTGGCAGGTCACTTATGAGTCAGCTCCAACTCCACAGCAATAAGTCAAAATACTAGGAATTTGGAAGATAGATATTTAGTTAAATGTAAAGAGTATAGGGAGGAATCAGCAGGTGCTAATTTAACAGAGTTTGAGAGCTGGAAAGAGGATGGTATCATTTCCTGGGGAAACCTACACAAAGAATTCCTGTTGGAAGCAAGAAATATGGTTGCCCTGGGAAGAGGGAAGTTCTCTAAAGTTGGACCAGTTACAGGAAAGATTAGCAAAGCCTCCTCTCTCAGGGGCATTATTGAAGCTATTTCTGTAGACATTAAAGATTGACTATCCTCTGGGGTCCCTTCCAAATCAAATATGTTGGGATTGCTTTTATTTGAGGCTTATTAAATTTAAGACCAGGAGAGAAGAGCAAAATGAAAATCGTTGCATTATGGAACAATTTGGGAGATGAATCATGAAACTATGAGCGTGGATGTGAGAGGAACAGGACACAAGGGGCTGCATTTTTTGGAAATGTTCCAGTTAGAAGGCTTTACTAGAGTAAAAAATGCTTTCTTCTGATACACGATGGTTTATGTTAGCACACATACTCATCTGCTGTGCTCCAGGCTCTTGTTGTTGAGTGCTGTTGAATGTGCTCCAGTCCACAGTGACACCGGGCACAACATGCCACATTGCCGGGTCCTGCTCCCTCCTCGCAGCCACTGCCGGCCTTGAGCCCATCGTTGTAACCACTCTCTCAGTCCCTCTCCTTGGGGCTGTCCTTTCTCACTGACCCTGTCATTTACCAAGCACGATGACTTTTTCTAGCAATTGATCCCTCCTGATGAGAACGTGTCACAAGTAAGTGAGATGAAGTGTCCCCATCCTCACTTCTAAGGAACATTCTGGGTGTATTTCCCCCTAGACAGATTTGCTAGTTCTGCTGGCAACATGTGGTACAGTGAATATTCTTCACATATACCACGGGTTAAGTCATCTCGTATTTAGCCCCACAGAGGAATTTAAGCTGGCTTGGCACCATAGAAGAAAATACAATTTCAAGCAAAACATATACTGGACTTTGCCCAGACAAACTAGACTTTTAAATATAAATTTGTTTGAGCTTAAGTAAACTACATAATTGTCTTTGACTTCTTGGGGGGGAAAAACAGTGGACATTATTGTCTACTAGTCATGGGTTTCCTCTCATTGTGAAATGATTAAGCAAATTAACTAATCTTTATAGCGGCTTGGTAGAAGGTGATTGATATGCTATAGGAGCTTGCATAAGATGATGGCTAAAATGATAAATGTATAGATTCCAAATTTTAAAAAATCATGAAATTGTTGCCTATAAGCAACAATTTCATTGTCAAAGAGTCAAAGAAAATGTCTATGACTTCTTTGAGGCTCCTTTCCCAAAGGTGGCGCCTCTCAGATAGTTTGAATCTACCAGCGGCTCCACAGGAGAAAGATGGGGAGCCTCCTGTGTGACACTTACAGGCTCCAAAAACCCACCAAAAGGTCAGGCACTAGTCAGTTCTGACTAGTTGGAGGCTTTTTTGGGGATTTTTTTTCCCCCTGCAAAAAAATGTTGAATTCAGGCTATGCTGAACTAGAGCTGTTTGATAGCACATGGAAAACATATCAAGCCAAGGAAAAAAGTATTTGCCA